AAAATTGTTGATAATGAGTCCTCTTAAATGCTAAAATATTGACATTTTAAAAAATTTCCAAAGTCAGTACAAGAAAATTGAATTCTCAGCCCAACAATGAAGCCCAAGTGATGCCCAAAGGGAGACAACAATAGTAGCTTATTTACATAGCCCATAAGGTACAGGCCGCCATCTTCTTCGGACTTCACTTATGAATTCTACTCGATATTATACAAAGTTTTGAGTCAAGTTCTATTGAATTCCATATTGACAATTGATCGGTATGTACCTGAAAATTTTCACTAATTGTTCAGTCTTGAACACAAAAAATATACAAATGCAGATTGGGATGGAGAACTGGTTCAGGAACAATCACTCCAAGTGGGAGCTTAAAATAATGAATCCAAATAGCACATATAGTTATACACCCACAATATGATACATTCATCGACAGCAAGATGCAAAAATAGATAATTTCCAGAGCTAAAAACAAAACACCTTCCCACCTGTGACCTGACCCTGCTTACTGATTCACTTTTCACCTCAAAACAATTGATCGGTTCAGTTAAATATTTGATTTCCAGAAACAGTGCCAGTTCTAGTTCTACAAATAACCAGCTTCGCACTTGTAACCGTCTTCTATTCACTTCTCATCCCAACTTTGGCAACATGAGTGATTGGTGCAATTTCACCAATATACAGTTGCCTCTCTAACAAAGAGATGAGATCTTGTAACTACTTTCACATAAGAAACAGTTCATGTCGTCTACAGCAGGTCACTCTTTGAGACAGTTTAAATCCTCATCAACAGAGTTCTCAGTATAAATTCAATGTCAGGTCACTTTAGCACCATGCTGGCTCAAGCGAAAGCTCAACCTTTAAGCGTGTAATCATGAGCATCTTAATCTAATCCTTGTTTACATGCCACCTTAATGGGCTAACCACCCAACCGGTGATAGGATTTTTTCTGCGAACTCTTGATGTTCTATGAGAACCACTTTGTAAACGTTCAAGGATGGTGTATGTGATTGAATCAGCTGCCAAACCTTGTTCCTTCAGTTTTGCATATAAACTAACAGCTTCTGAAGTTCTCCCACTTCTCTCGAGACAGTCAAGTAAGATATTGTATGTCACTATGTTAGGATAACAGCCAGCTGCAAGCATTTCATCGAATAGCCGACGTGCCATCTCAACTTTTTCAGTCTTCCCAAAGCACTCAATGAGAGTGCTGTATGTTACAACATCAGGATTCAAGCCCTTCTCCTGCATCTCAATGAATTTCATGTGTGCTTCATCAATGTCTCCGTTCTTTCCCAGACAATTTATCAAGGAGTTGTAGGAGACAATATCAGGTTTACAATTGCTATTCTCAAGTTCTTCAAAAATCTTGAGAGCTTCCCCAACCTCCCCCGCTCTACCAAAGCTAGATATCAAAATGTTATAAGTAAATATGTCTGGTGTGGGGCCATCCCGTTTCATCTTTTCATAGAGATCATGAAGATGAGGAATCTGCTTTAGCTTCCCAAGTGCAGAGAAGACGGTATTATACATGAAGCTATCTGCTTGTACTCCCTTTTCATTCATCTTATTCAGCAAATCAATAGCCTCAGTTACTTTCTTAGAGTTGCATAAGCTCTCTAACATGGACAAGTAGGCATCACGATCTCCTCTATCATGGAAGCTCCACATATTGCAAAACAACCTATGAGCTTCGCTTGCATGGCCTATTTTACTCAACGTTCTAACAAGATATGCGTATATCGATTTATTCATGTATCTCTTAGATATTTCCACAACTTCATCAAGTCTTCCAAGTTGCCCTTCTGCGGCCAATACATTTAAAATAATACTGTAAGTAAATTCATTGGGCCGGCAACTATTCTCCACCATCTTAGAGAAGACGAAGATACTCTTATCAACCATATGGCCTTTGGCAAGAGCTTCGATCATAGTATTATAAGCAATTAAATTTGGTGAAATACCGTTAGACAGCATTTCCAAAAAGAAAGAAAGTGATTCCCCGGGCTTCCCTAATTTCCCAGTCATTCTAATCAGAATGGTATACGTATATTCATCAGGTTCGCAGTGCCACTTCTTCATGTCCTCGAAAACCTTGTGGACCTGATCAACCTGGCAAAGCGCTGCACATTAGATTCATTAGCAAAGCAGAACCATATTCATCATATATTTCAAGACTCACGCATGAAGTGGACTCAAAACACCTCTATAGCATTTTCAAATGCATGTATACAGTTTATTAAGTATTTTATCTCAGAGACAATTATTACATTTATCAGATAGAAAAACCCAATAATAAGAGATCTGACCATACTTGTATTGTTCCAATACCAAGAAATAATGATGGCGTCTGTGATTAGAGACGGATTTATTTGTAGATAGATGAATCAAAGCTTTCTTTCGACTTTTTTCAATTGAAATCAAGACTTTTGCCAACCCTCCCATTTCCCAAAGGAGGACATGTCGAAACACTCACCCATTCCTTAGTGAAAGAAGAATTCTACTTTATGATTTAAAAAAAAATGCTTGTGCCTCGCCAACAAGACTTTGTTCGCAATGTAGAGGCATTTTCCCAAGATGTTGACCTTAAGACGCTTTATTCATATTATGCACTAACGACTAATAAAATATCTTTAAAGCATCTTAAAAATTGTTTCTAGTTTTTCAAAAGTATGTCCTTGCCGAAGGTTAATTGAAAAATCCTTCTCATAATAGCACTACATAGACTAGAAATCTTCCTATCCACCTTACAGTAAGATACTTCCTTCCTAAAAGAGCCAACATGTGTGTGCACACCAAGGTTTAGAATACTAGAGAAAGTTCACCATGTTCCACCTTAGTTGGACTATGAACTTTCATAGCCAAACTTGTGACTCTAGTTTTTCAACAGCTAAGCCACCCTTCTGGAGGTAAAATTAATGAACTTCATTTTGCATAACTATTCCTTTTCTATTTTGTGTATAACTAAGACAGCTTGTTTTCATTGAATTGGTATACAAAGTGCACAAACTCAGTAAGGATTCACATTTCAGAAGGAGAAACATGATATGAACCATCTATCCCAAACTTAGTGTTTATTGTATTCATTAATTTCAAAAATTGAAATTAAAGACGACGTCTTTTTCACCATATGTTTTTTTTTTTAAAAAAAAAGAATAGTTAATAATGCCACAGACAGTCTCAGACTGAAACTTGAAAACCTTAAACTCCAAAAACACTGAATAATATGAGAGACAATCACAAAGAAGAAACCTTTTGGTCCCTAGCAAGAGCATCAAGAAGCATGTTGTATGCAAATATATCCAATCTGTACCCACGTCTCCTCATTTGTTGGTAAACTTCCAAAGCCTTGTCGGGATTGCACAATCTGATATAGGCTTGTAAAAGACACTTATAACTATAGCAATTCAACTTCAAATCCCATTTTTGAACCAACCCCAAACACCTAGTTAGCTCATTAACACCATTCCCTTGGCCGTCACCAAATGTACCAATAAGAAGATTAACAGTGGATATGTTTCCCCGAATACCAGTGCGTTCCATTTCATCAACAATCTCGCGGACGCAATCGAGCCGGTTCGGAAGAGAAGATTTGGAGAGGATGAGAAGGATGCGGTTGTAAGTGAAGCAGTCATGGCGGAATTTAGGGATTTCAGAGGGGCAAAATCGGAAGAAGCGAAGAGCAAGGTTTGGAGACTTGAGGGATTTGAGAACTTCAGAAGCTTCAGAGGGAGTTAGGGTTATTGTCAATGTATCCAGATAGTCAGATAAGTCAAGGAAAGGATCAGAAGAAGGGGAAGGACGTGACTTAAGAATCTGGGAGACCTTACAGATTAGGTCACGGCGGGGGAGAGCATAGCCTCTGGAGTCGGTGTGAAGAGTAGGGGCATCCACTTCGACGGCGAATGAACGGCCATCTTCAGCTTCCACCACTACTCTGCCACTGTACTTGGTGGCCAAGTATCGGAACTGCTGCCGGTAAATCAGCCGGAGCCGGTGACAGGGATGCCTGAGCTGCATGAATTATTTTGTTATGTTAAATTGGGCACAGACAGGAGGAAGAGTAAAGGAACCCAGCACCAGTCTATGGACTGTTTTACCTAACGGCCCATCTCCCATTGGGCCGAGGCTCTTAATGGACTTCAGGAATTTAATATATATGTATACAGAAGATACACATTCACTAATTAGTTATAAACACGGAGATATCAAACGCTTGTGCCAATTTATAGATGCTAAAAGAATTAGGTGAGAAAGTTTAGATAATTTGTCTATGTTGATATACAGTACTGCGTGCAAAATGATACAACTCTGCGCAAAAATTACAAGGAACAGCCTAGATAATCTACACATAAAAAACTCGGTACAACCAATATCTCAGCGTTTTCTGAACACAATGTTTATCATCTCCTTCAAATTCCTGCAGGCCACAATCTCAGTATCTCCAAGATCTAAAGCTGACAGTAATGTTTCAGCTGATTTGGGAATTATACATTTCTTGTATCCCAGCTTCACCACTGTATTTATCCTTTTGTCCATTCTTGGTACCTATTTTTTTTTTTTTTGAAAGGGGAACAAACAAAAGTAGATTAGAACAGGAGGAAGAGGAAGAGGAAAAGATCGTGTCTTGTGCACGGTGGGCTAATATGGTGAATCATACGATCTCCAGCTAGAAACTGTAATGCTTTTTCTTGAGAACCAAATGGCCTACTGTTGTATGCAGAGAACAAAATTAATTATTCATTCCTAGCAACAGTTGTGTATGCATGAATTATAGTCCTTTATTTTTTATAACAGAGAAAATGGAAGACCATAAAAGCATATCTCTGCCTTTTTCTAAAAAATATATATATTGATATCAACTGGCTTATTCAAATTTGAGGATGCTATTTGATCTCAATGCATTGTATGAAGGGTCCACATAGCACCCTCTAATTTGAGAAAGCCATGTTATCAGGACGCAAAGTCCAAACTTTTACAAAAAAAATACTTTCAAGTGTACAGAAAGTTGGAGAAGGAGGGTTGGGTAAGTATACATACCATACGAATTTCACCACCAAGGCCAATTTCCCCAATGAATGCAATGCCCACAGGAAGAGGGAATTCCAAAAAACTGAAAAGGACACAGCACACATGCTTACAAACATCTACATACTTGACGGGAAATGTAAAAACAATTACAAGAAGTATGACAAATGCAGAAATCCACTAGTCTATTTCCCTCTCAAGAGTGATATCACCCTTGTGGCGTAAAAGAAGGTTCCAATTCATGTTAAAGAAGGATAACCTCAATTTGACTGTTTATACTGAAAACCAGCACTATCATCAACTTCAGCAAAGCCATGCACAAATCTGTTTGTTTTACTTTAATAGGGGCTAGGGCATTGGTCATGTGTTCCACATTGTTTTGCTTACAGCTCGGCAAATTTATCTTCCAATTCAAGACAAAGCAATTTCATGTCATCAAGAAAAACTGCTTGATTTTTTCTTCTTCTCCATTTCTGTTCATTCACTTCCCTCTTTGTCTTTTACATGGTAAGATATTAATGTACAGAAAACGTCCACTAGTATCAGGTATTCCTTCGTAATTAATGTGACACCATTTAGCCAGCATGGAGTTTAAGCTGTCTATTTGACTTCTATGTTATACAAGAACTAAAGCAAATTAATATTTTCAAAGTTAGTTGCAGGAAAAACACCCCATCAAATAATATGTTTGATTAATTGAAAGAATTTGACCTTTTAAAAATTGTGGAAGCTGTGTAAAATAATAATAATACAAATTGAGACAGAGAACTATGTTGGTTGTCGACCTGAGCAGACTGATGACTAGTATATATCAAAAGAATACCTGCTGCAAATTGCTGCTGCTACTGCAAGATCACCAGCAGTCTCAGACAGGCTAACACCACTGACAACATTGAGAAAAACGCCCTATAATCAAATTAAACAAAAACTATATCAAAGATCTAAATAATATATCAGATTGTAACAGAAAACAGAAAGTATGTATACACTGAGAAACCAAATATATATAATGGAGGACCAAATCAAAGAAATACCAGATAAGACATCCTACAGAGAAATCTGTATAGTAAAAGTGAATCAATTACATTAAAAATTGCCAAATGCTTTAGTATATGTTAATGGTGCTCCTAATAGCCTAGTCTTTTTAAGTTGGTAAAGGTTTTTCGAGATCAGATAGATCATAATACCAGTTCATTTGCATGAATGATCTCTCTTCTATTATGAAAACTGGCCATTATGTTGCCAAGAAAGATCCAGAGTCATGTGAAAGCCAGTTGATGGAAAGTAACAAAAAACTTTAAAATACAACTATCAAAGGGATCACAATGAAGGTAAAACAAGAACAAACTAAGATTTAGATTGCTTAAGTCATTTACCATAATAGACTTTATGGGGTTACTGTAATCCACACAATCTAAAAGTCATATGCAGCACATAGAAAAGAAGCCATAAAATGAAGAAAGTATTGGGGAAAGGTTCATTAGAATCATTACATTCTCTTGCAGCTTGAGACCAGCTTGCTTTATAAGAACCTGAATACAGCAGTAAAGAAAACGTTATTTGCAAACTTCAGCATATCTGATCCAAAATACTAGCTCATGGCATCTGAATTGTTCAGTTTCAGGAAATGAAAAGGACATATCAACAATTTCCAAGAGTATTAAATGGTTTCTGTACAGTAATTAAGAACCAATTAATTTGCAATCTTCAGCATATCTGATTCCAAAGAAATAGCCCATGGATTCTGAATCATTCAGTTACAGGAAAACGACAAGGGAATATCAACGATTTTCAAGAATGGCATGTGCCACAAGTTTCAGCACATGTAATTTCCTTGCAAAATTTCTTTACGAGTTCATTTAAACTCTGGAAGGAGTAATCACTCACTGAAATTATCATCTCAGCTCTGCCAGCTTGAACACCATTTACTTGTCTTGAGACAGATGAACCAGCAACACACAATGCCTACATGGATATAAACTTTATTCAATCGATAAAAGAATGTATGATAAAATATTACATTAGAACTTAGAAGAGCAGAATCTTATAAGGCCATCTGATGGCCATTGACTTGAAAAAAAAACATTAGAAGCACAGATTCATGTGGCCATAACTAGAGAGATACTTGCTTAAATCAGAAGCTCTTCCTTCCCCTCATTGGTACACCTGTGCAGTTGTCATAGCTTTTGGAGAAAAATGTAGAGAAGATGTTGCATAAGGAAATATCACTACACCATTTTTGTTTCCAGGACCTGATTCTAGCTCCATTGCTCACTTTGATGTTTGTCATAGCAATTCCACCCCCACCACCCCAATATCTTTGTCATACCCCTCCAATTCCCTCATATCTTTGTTATACCCCTTCATAGTCCTACCCCATAAGGCATGGTATTTAATCAGTCCTTCATTGTCCTTGGGTTCCATATTTGTCTATGATGAACCTTCTTCACAACCCTTGGTTCCACTTGAGCATAAAAAAGTCACATGTTAATTGCTAGACTAGGTTGGCACTCTGCACTCAGCAGATTTATACAAAAATGATAATTACAAGAACAATAACTAATAAATGTGATTATCGGGACTCTGGTGAAATATGCAGGATGTATATTGGAAAGATAGCATGACAGACTTTATCACCTAACTACTGGAGTAATCTCTGATAAGGGGGAACCCTCCTTTCTGTTTTTGCACAAGGAGACCTATTCTGTAATTATCAGAACTAGCTTAGTGCTTGGCAGCTTACATCAAGAGATACCCAAAAACAAATTATTACATAATGACATATCACATACCTGAATTTCAATAAGAAAGGCTCGAGATCCATCCATAATTACAGTAACAGCTAATCCAGCCAGAAACTCAGAATCCGACTGCTGTTCACTTAGAAACATTTCACTTGGGTTTGAAACAGCCTGCAAGCCTGATTGTGACATTTCAAACACTCCAAGCTGCAAGCAGAACATGTCAGAGCCCAAAAGACAAAAAATACATTTAAAAAAAAGATTCAGGAAGTCACTAGGGATGGTCCAAATATTCACTATGATGTTTGATAATCACAACTAGTCCTGAGATGAGATCCTACAAAGAGAATAGCATAATCCATACTGAAGGAGTTTGAGAAATCTTTTGACAATTTTACTCTATATTAAGTCAGGCCTCTTTTTTGTCCTTCAAATTAAACTTTTGGAAAATCTTCAACCATGAGAAAAGTGATAACCTTTCTCAATCAGGATATGCTGACCAGATAAGAAGGATAACCTTCTACTAAACTTGAAACTAACTGATTCATGCAATGCATAGATCTTCCTTTTAAGTTTCCCCTTATCTCCCCATCAAACAATGAAAAAGAAGCTCTGTCTCAAGTCCCATGAACATCTAAAATCATATAGAGCATTTCAACAAAAGGAAAGAACAAGAAAAATGAGCAGAAGCATCTGAATACCTCATCTGTGGATCCAAATCGATTCTTCACTGAACGAAGTAAACGATGAGATGAACACTTCTCTCCCTGCAATTTTCAATGTGTGACCCGAGCATTGATGAGAAGCAGATATGGCATAATCAAAAGCAAGAATAAGAACCTCCTAAAGGAAGGAAAAACAATAGAGAAAGTTCTTCTACGGCGGATGTGTAGTGCTCTGTCTTGCAAGAGCGGACTCCAGACACATTAAATTCTAAATGCAACCAAAAGAAAATATGCACAAACATAACTTATTATCTCTATTAAGTAAAAAAGGGCATGCAAACGAGCCAATGAAGCCACAAATTATAAAGGATACACCCAAATGTTCATGGACTCTGAATAAATTAACCAAGCATTCTACACTTGATCACTAAAAAAAATAGGCACTTTACCATACAGCATTACAAGCATGAGCACATGGTTTCATCTTCAGTGTCAAAACTCAGAACCATATCAAAATCTCTTTATTCTCTTTAAAAGATAAATACAAGCTAGAAAAAAACATGTGTATACAGCAAATAACATCAGAGTAGGAGAAGATACTGCTCAAATCTGAAATTCAGAAGGTACCAACTTCCATATAGAGAACAACATCAACTATGTGTTCCAAGACTCGAGGACCAGCTATTTCTCCAGATTTAGTCACATGTCCAATCTGAAATTTCCCAAGTTTAGTATCAGATCAACAGATAAATAACTGGCAAAGAGAATAGAGGAAGATTTCTCTAAACCTATCAAAAGATTCTGGCTGCTGACAACATATCATCAAGTCAGAAAACAAATTTTTAGTTGTGCATAGGTTCATACGACAAAGCAAAAATTTATCCATCGAAGAGAAAAAAAAGTATATCCTCTGATAAAGGTAATCGAGATGATACCTCTCAAATAAAGGTGAAACTCTTCTTATCATTTTTACCTCTGTCATAAAAAATACTAAAAAAAATATTGAGATAATTTAATTTACTTTTGCAAAGGAGGAGAGGGTAATTAAAGAAAGCCACCTAACGTGACAAAAAAGACAAACAACCTTAAATTAAGTTACAGCAATAAATATATCAACCAGATGTCTTAAGTTAAAGCACAGTGCTCAATTGTTCATCCTCACCAGAAACACAGGGATATTGGTCTTCTTGGCAAACCGCAGCAACACTTCTGTGCATTCTTTTACCTGTCATGAATGAATCAGCGTTAAGTAAGATCACTGAACACCATAGTGAGAAGCAATTTAATGGTTGTCTATCTCAGTAGTTTGAAAAGCAGGTAAACAAAGCTTTATCAAGACATTCTTTAGAGGCAAAATCTTTTCCGGAATCTCCATTAGCACAGCTGCCTTGAGACAGAGAATTTATTTATAGGAAGCTCCTTCACATGATAGCTTTCAATAACAAATGACTTTAGATCTACCCTCCCATTCAAATGGATAAAAAGTTCGGATGAACTCTAAGTAAAACTCTCACTACTACAAAATATAGCACAAAACAGTGAACCTGTGATAATACAAAAGGTAGGTAGTACAAAACAGTGAACCTGTGATAATACAAAAGGTAGGTAGTACAAAACAGTGAACCTGCGATAGACCACCTGCACTTCCAGTTACTCCTCTCAGATATACTGTCTGGATGGAATCAATTACCAAAGCTCGCAGTGGGAGAGTTTGGGTCTTTTCCAAAATATCCTGAAGAAAGACGGCAACATGGAATAAAACATAAATACATCAGATTTATTCACTCTAACCATCTGTTAAACAATTATCTCATTCTGCAACCTTCAAGTAATCCAGGTTATTTGTTGAACAAATATGCAAAGGACCTAGCCTTTACAAGAGAAACGAAGCACTTGAACTAATACAAAGCTATCTTTCATCATTGACAAAGATAAACGGCCTATCTTCCATTAAATGATCATTTTTATAGCTTGCATGTTTAAAGATCATAAAGATAAAAATATTGATATTCCCATCCTTCCTACACTTATAGAATCCTTGAGTGAGATGCAACTTCGGCTAAACATTGGTCACATCTAAGAATATCATAAGTTGGTTCAAAAAATAAAATGGAAGTACAACTAGAAAGATATTTTGGTAAAAACATGCAAGGTAACATACCACTAACTTTATGTTCTAGGGTCGGCAAAATCAGCTTGTCTCCAACTAAACAAAGACTAAAAACATTTTACACCTAGTTAATTATGTGATGAAGTACTGAGGACGACTAGTAAGTTGAAGCTTTTGATTATTACAAGCCTATAAGGTGAAGCTTGCATGATATAACAAAGAGATATGTGGAAAATTAAGAGCATGGATAACATGGTTTGTTTTCATTTTTTTGTAGTGCAATTGTTTATTCGAAGCCTCTGCAACAATAAAAAGGTAACTATAATGTGTCAGCATGCACATTAATCCAACTGCAACTGTTAGAACCACTAATCAGTTCCCATCTAAAGGTTCAACTTTAAATCTTCCTCCTTCTCAGATCATATGAAGTCTAATCTTGCACTGTTTGTTTTAATGAACCTAGCACCCATGTTTGCATCGCCGCAGTCAAGCTAGTTATCTTAAGCTCAACTTGCTACACTTTCAAGGGGACAAGGGTCGGAAAGGTCCTCATGTTTTACCTCTAGTCATAGTTGTCCCACCACAAGCCAATTTAAGACTACTGGTCAACTATCAATTTGAACAACTACTTAAAAAGGTCAACCATACCAAAAATAAAATTGAAATTCATAATTATTGAATGATATAAAGGGGTTAACCTCAACATCTGTACTCGCATATAAAAATAGTTCATCTGTCCCGATTCTCATCCGATCTGCTCTGTTCCCAATTTGCTCAATACTCTGGCATGCAGATGACTCAAGACAGTAAGATACCAATATTTTTCAAGAGCATAAAATTGCACACAAGGAAAAAGACTTATTTAAACAAGAAAGATAGGATATAAATTTGGAAAATTTGCCATCAACACTTCCCCAAAAAAATTTCATGTATTTTAAGGCAAAAGACAAGTATCTGCACTCAAAAAGAGTGTGCTCCCTCAAATTTACTGAACTTGAAATCATGTAGTTTTTTTATACAATTGCTATTCCTATTCCCTTTTCCAGATAAATCAATCACTTCTCCTTCATGAACTCATGCCCTTGGTCTAAATTTCAGTTTAGCAGATGCAACATATCAAAAGCTTCAAGAAGAATAATGGCACTGCCCAATTAAGAAGGATAATCACCCACCTCTTCCCCAGACACATAGAGAACTGGTGCTGGTCCCCCCATATCACACCCCTCTGCAACTATGGCTGCAATCTTGCAATAGAGAGTAAGATAGTTAAAGTGATTGGAGAATAAAAGAGAACTCCGAAAAATATGACCTAAAACGAAAAACTTATGTCGCACACAGCATCATACCTGTAAAAGTAATGTGCTCTTACCAACACCCGGATCACCGCCAATTAAAACTAAGCAACCTGCAACATAGAAAGGTGAAAAAAATGAATTGGTCCTTGTTGAGAAGGTAGAGACCAACTTACCTATTAAAGAAAAAAATTAAGACCAAATAGCTCTCAATAATTCAAAGTCAAAATGCTCCACGAAAGCAATGGGAACAGTTAAATTGTGAGAAGCAGAGACTAAAGGCAACCTAGAGAGTGACTGTACATTTAGCAGCATTTATTTATCTGCAGGCATAGATTTAAAGTTGGTTGATGCTCCTAATCCATCTGTGGTACAGTTCAAGGTGTAGCCTACCATAACAAATACAGGTAAAAAAGAATTACAGAATGCAACAACTCTGGAAGCTTTCCTTTTTAATTTGCAGGTGGATAACTAAGTCTTTTATATATAATATACTCTGGCTTCTAGCAAAATTGCAAGGTTAAAGTGAACGCTGTAGTAACCGAATTTCATTAATAACAGAGTAGCAAGCTGACTACATTACTTTAATCGTTGCTGGAATTCTTACAGAATAGCATAGATACTTGGGTCCACAAATTCATGCCTCATGGTCATTAATAAAAGAGTAGCAAGACAAAATGAACTTCATGTAAAAGCAGGGTCTGAACATGGCAGTACCTGGCACAAGACCACCACCAAGTACTCTTCCTACTTCAGCTCCAAAAAGGCCAGACCTATAACAAGACCATTAATTCAGAGTGTTTATTGACATTTATCAATGATCTCCCTATATTATATATGAACCTTAAATGGCCAAAAGAACTCATCCAAAGATATGACTTTAGAAAGAGGCAGTAGCATTCATTTTCAAATTCAGTGTTCCACTAGAATCGAATTGATATACGACAGTCCACCTTGTCCTACACTCTTGTCAAAATTTCACCTAATCTAAACATTCACTCATTCGAGCAGCTAGAAAACTTGGTAGATATTCCAACTAAAACATAGACAGGATTAGTATATATCAATAAACTAGAAAGTCAAAATCCTGACATCGTATGCATAATAAATAGACAAACTCAAATTCAAGTTGGTACAAACTGTCACTTCACTTACAGAGGTATTCGCCAATTCGATTGATTAATCCCCTTATTCACATCCGTCAATTTCGTGGGCAAAGCTCTAACAGACTGATGAGGCAGCCACGACCTTGTCACATTCTCTAAAACCTCAAACCCACTCGTGAGATGCTCTACACCTTCAGAAAACCGCTTCATAGTATTCACCCCATTACACTGCTTACATATCCCCCACCACTGTCCATCATCATACCCACAATCAGAACACACCCACACTGTTTTACTCTTGCCTTTCCCCTTCTTCTTGTTCCCATTCCCTGTAACCTCATAAACCCTACTCTTTGAACCCAAAACATTGGAGTAATTTGCACTCGATTTAGACTCCCTTTGCGGAACATTCTCACCACTAGGGTTTTCTCTAGCAGCTGAAGGAGCGGCCCAGCCCTGTACGGCGTCGTTGGTGAGAGCTGTGGACTCTTCAGGGAAGTGTTTCCGGCGAGTAAAGTGAAACTGGCGAGAAGTGTTTATGATAGTGAAACGGAGAGATGAAAGGGGGTTCGTTGGGGGGAGATTGAGCAAGTGTTTTTGGAAACGGAGAGCTCTTAGTGCTTGCATGTTTGGTACTTGCATTTACAGAGAAAATGGAGGATTCCGGGAGTTTTATAGGCGCAAATTTTGAACAGAGCACTCTCACTGACTGTTAAACGGCGGGAACGGAAACTCCCCCTTATTAGCTTTTTGCTAACTTTTGTTTTTTCTTCTTCCCGTTTTCAATATTGTACATTGTATATTTGTATTCACCCACTAAATTCATATTGTGTTTGAACAAAACAAACTAATTTTTTTTTTCATTTTTGTGTCGGAATTCAAAAAAATTGTCGGGCATGACTAATAAATATAAATATAATAAGAATAATAGTATATACGTTCTACGCAAATTGAATCTCGAATGGATGGAGAATTTATGATTCATACTTTATAGAAATAGTAAATGATACTTATCTCTCATAATTTATTTGAAAAACGTGTATACTATATATAAAATAAATATTGGTTGAGATGCAATATGTTTACTTAGGAATAATAGAGTTAAAATTCAACCATCTTTAACTCAAGTAGGACTTAAACGTTTATAGATTATTTTTAAAATAGATAATTCTATTTCCTTTCGAAAAAAAATAACTTAGTACAATTGAAGATTAAAAGGCAATGTAACTAGAATATTTGGCATTATATATGTTTGTTTTTTTAAAAAATAGTTACATAAATTTAAAATCTGTCAAAAAAAAAAAGATTAATATCAAATCTAAATTATATTCATTAATGGATTAAAACAAAAGTTTATGCTTTTTTCGTCGAATGACACATTTATCGATATCAAACGTAACATAAAAGCATTAAAATTGTATTTTTTGGTTATTTAGAAAGACATTACTAAAAACTACTCACCTAAAACATTTGAAGTAAATTTTTATTTTTTTTTTAAAAAAAAACAATTTGTAATTCAAAAAGATGTTTGAATTTTTTAAATCAAGAACAAATGAAATCCAAGATAACATTTTTTAATATTCAATTTAATCTAAAGCATGCTCATTCGGTAATAGATATATTCAATTTAATCTAAAGCATGCTCATTCGGTAATTAGTTAAAAAAAGAAAATTGTATATAAAAATAAATTATTAATTTAAATTAAATATTATAAATATATTTTAATTTAATTGTATCTTATAGCAAATTATTGCTATTTTTGCCTCTCTCCATGGTGGAATCTCGCTCGTCACTCTCTTTTGGTGGCATCTCGCTCGTCTTTCTCGCTTTTATACAAACACAAATGTATAAAATGCGTTTGTGTTTCTATTTGTATAAAGCGAGAGAAAATTGTTTATATACATGTATTTTCTTTCCCTTTCCCAGATCTCGCTCGCCGCTGTTTCATATATCGCTCATCACCCTCGTCTCTCTCGCTTATACAAACAGAAACGAAATGTATAAATTGCATTTCTGTTTGTATAAAGCGAGAGAAAATTGTATCCAAATAGATTTGTCTTCGTCCTACACATTTATAATTATACAACATAAATATTTCTCTACGCAATTTTCTTTTGTCTTTCTTTCTTTCTCGCTTTATACATACACAAATTATATAATTCATCTTTTGTATACAACTATTTTTTTTTGTATATGTATAACGGATTATACAATTAGTTTCTTTGTATATGTATAGCGAGTTATAATTTACTTTTTATATATATATATATATATATATATATATATAACGAATATACATATTTATGTTTATTATAAAGCATAATTATGCAAACTATAGCTATAATATACGAATATAATTTTTATATTGATATAGGTGAAAGTTACTCTAGTTAAAATGGTTAGTAAAATTGTCCATCTAAGAAGAATTAATCTAAATAATGACCTATTAAATGCTTAAATTTAAAATATCTAACATATAATCAATCAATATATAATTTATATATATTGACCAAAAATAAGTAAATAGTGAAGTATGTATGTGTTTAAAAATGTCTTTTTAAAATATTTTTTTCACTTTCACAAAATAAAAATAAGACATTGTAGAATTATAGGGATAAATTATTGTGGCATTGGTTATATATGGGTAAAAATTCCAAACATCAATACTGGGCCCAACACTGGATAGTCCACGATTTTTTTCCCCAATTATAAACACCGGCTCCAACTATACGCACCTTGACCCGCTCTATATCACGTTAGGGTTTTGAGAATTGGAGCACATTCTTGAAATTGCACTGCAGAACCCCTTTGTCCAGTTTCAGATTTTTGAGAACCAAAAATGGGGAAAGCAAAAAAGGCTCCCAAATTTGCAGTGATGAAGAAAATGGTTACTCACAAAGCAATCAAGGAGTGAGTTATTGTGTTGATTCCCTCTTTCGCGCATCTATTATCGTATTTGGTTTTCAATTTTTTTTGAATTTTAATGATGTTTTAATTTCAGGCATAAAGAGGCAGTTTTGAACCCTAATAAGAAAGATTTAACTAAAGAGAAGCTCCCAAGAAACGTGTAAGTTTGTTTTTTAGCTTCAATTTCTAATTTAAAGCAAAGGACTTTGTTGATTTTGAATTTGAGTTGCTGGTTATGTGTTTCAGGCCTTATGTTTCTTCTGCACTCTTCTTCAAGTACAACACAGCTTTAGGGCCGCCGTATCTTGTTTTAGTTGATACTAACTTTATTAATTTCTCTATTCAGAATAAAGTAAGTGGCTTCTTTTTAATTTTTGTAAAGTAAAATAATTTGTTAATTGTTTCACAGTTTTGGTGTCGTCTCCTCTATATATTATTCCACCCAGCATTAAGCCTTCAAGTTTTATATCTTGTTTGTACCATAATACGTGTTAGGAAAAATATAGGATTCTTAAAAAAATCTCGCATCAGAAACGTTTGAGTTGTTGAGAATTTTTGTGGATAAAGGGTTGTGACATCCATTATGCTTTAAACTTTCCGTGCTTGGCAGCTAGAAATCAACTGAGTATCATATAGCTTAAGATATATAACTATATAGGTGAGAGAAGTGCGTGCTTAGCTTTATGGTGCCCGGAATGATTTAGAACAACATAGGTTTTCTTCTATCAGATTCATTGTTTTTCCCTTCCTTTATTTTCCAATAAGTAGAATGTGGGTTCCTTTCTACAAAGAAATCCGAAGACAGTGGTTGCTAGTGAACAATGTGGATTATATATGATTTTTTTGGCTCTCTGGCTAATGATTTCTTTTACTTGATATATTTTATATTTCTGATTTGTATGACTAAGTTGATCGAGCTTGACTCTTCTGTTTCAGTTGGACCTGGAGAAAGGGATGATGGATTGCTTGTATGCCAAATGTAAGTTACCTCATCACTAGGTGGTTTCTCACTTTCCCCATCCCCGCTTCTTTATCACTATCTTCCCTTGGTCGAATACATTTATGTTTAAAGTATTGAGGTACATAATGGTTGTGTCTAAAACATTGTCAAAATGAAATGAGATAACTGTTTCATGGTATGGTAGTTGTTGTTTTTTTGTTTTAATTTTGAAAATTCTTGATGCAAGTGATTGCCACTGTGATCTATCTGAATTCATCACTAAAAATCCAAAGAAGAACTGGATTTGTATTTACAGAGAAGTCGCATTTTTCCGCTGAACATATTGTCCTTTCACAGGTACTCCTTGCATTACAGACTGTGTCATGGCTGAGCTTGAGAAGCTGGGTCAGAAATACCGTGTTGCTCTTAGGTACTTGTTTCAAGTTATCTTTTGATTCTATCACTAGTCAAGCTGTATTAAACTAAGTGCTGTTTAGTTTTGTCCCTTTTTTCTCACACTTGGGAAAGGTGGATGATTAGCTATAGCAACGGTTTTTGTAGAGAAACTACTTTCCCCGTATATATATTTAGCGATTCGAGGGTATTGTTAATTAGTTTTATGGTTAAAATTTTGTTTCATTTAATATCAACATAATAAAACAAACTATATTGTGTACATCTAAGGCTTAATCATTTCTTAGTCCTTCCTCGAATGCAAAGGGCGAAGAAATAATAGAAACTTTTTCACCTAAAAAGGGAAAAAGAAATATGCAAGCATTAGTAGAAGCTTTACCCCTTCACTTAGATAGTTATGAATTGATGAAATGACTAGTAGATAAGCAGGAATCACTTCTGACCCCCACATGTTGAAAAAAGTAAAAGGCCCTGAGACCAAAATAGACAATTTGACCTCAAGGAGATATAAGCTCTGCTCTAAGGATAAATGCAGAACAGAAGACCTTCTTGTGGATGGCCTGTATGTGCTCTTTTTTTTCTTTTTTTTTGGAACTATCGATATCATGAGTGCAAAGAATACTACCTTGCGGAGAATTTTCCAGATCAATAGCAGGACAGCTAGTATTATTGCCTTAAACTGTGTTTAGATTGAGCAAACGATGTTAACTAGTCATGCAGATGCTTTTTTCAGCTTCTAGTGATGATACCAGCATGGGTAACTTTGTGTAGTACTAAAGGATTTAAGTTTCTGTAATGTTTCGGAAGTTCTCTGCAAAGAATAAATCTGTTTCATCATCATTTCATTTAGATTATAATGTGAACTCCTCCCTTTCAACAACAGTAAAATTGGTGGCAAGAACATGACTTTTGGTTTTTGTCCTCATGATAATGGATGTTCTTATTCCCTTACATTTTTCTTTGTTGTAAATAGAATTGCAAAAGATCCCCGATTCGAAAGGCTTCCCTGTACTCACAAAGGGACATATGCCGATGATTGTATTGTTGAGAGAGTTACACAGGTATGATCTTAATCCATTGTGCATAATGTTCTCTGAAGTTGTTAGTTGTGTAAACCAATTTGTAATCCTACTGCATGTATGGATGATTTCATTCCTCTACAGCACAAGTGCTATATTGTCGCAACATGTGATCGAGATTTGAAACGTAGAATACGCAAGGTATGACAGATTAGCTCATATCCTCCTTTTCGTACTCTTTTCCTCTCTTCTGCTGTTTAACTATTGTATTTTGTTCCTCGTGTATATATTTATAAAAAAAACTGACATTTAACGTTGAATGATCAGGTCCCTGGTGTACCAATCATGTACATCACTCAACACAAGTACTCTATTGAAAGGTTGCCTGAAGCAACGATTGGTGGAGGTAAGGCCTACTCGTTGCATATATTGTCTCTTTCTTACAGCTGCAAAATATTTTACTCGGAATTTTCCAAGAATCTAAATTCGTAGCATTTATTGGGGTCGATAGGTTAGTTCCCCACCCCCACCCTGACATAATAAAAAGGGAACACACTTATCTTTTTCCAGTCAATTGTTTCTCGATTTCTCATCTAATCTCTTCTTCCTTGTATTTCTGCAGCTCCAAGATTTTGATGATATGGAAGCTAACAATGAATTCCCAAGCGCTGGATGGTGGTTCCAATTGCCTACGTCTTGTCACTACGACAAGACTTCCATCTCTCTGCAGTGTTGGATTATAATAGCTGAAACATCATTATCAATTTTGTACCTTAGGAATTTCTGTATCCCAATGATATGAATCTTTTTCATTTTTCTGGTTTCTGATAGAAAAGAAAATCCGCATTCGGATCTACTTGCGGTCTCTGTGTATATACTGTTGTGCTGAAGCGCATACCTTGCTACAGAACTATTATCAGTGCTATTAGCTGTAATTCCTCAGCCACAATGTCTCACCGCGAATGAATACACAGTTTGAGTATTTATCCATATCTTTGTTCAAAAATAGAATGTGATACTGGGGTTGAAATTTTAAATTACGTTAACTTCATAGAGTAATTGAAAAGAGGGCCTTTGAGCAGCTTTTGGCATTTAAATTTTCACTCTGATGTTTAGAGTTCGATTTTCCATTTTGTAGTAATAAATTTAATTATGATATCTGCTAGGCCTAAAAATACACATCAAACCTATAATAATGCATTGAATTTAGACTTATCTCCTTTTTTTGTGCCGCATGTAAATAAATAGAGCATATAAATGTTGAAATATCACAACAAAAAATGGTACATGTATAGGCCATTATCTCAATATTAATATAGAGTACTAGGAATAAACTTCCATAATTATCCTAACACCATTATCATTTTCTAACTTTATCATCTTGGAGAAGTGATTCCCCTTCCTTGTTTCAATAATCCCCATATTTTTTATCCTTTTTTTTTTTTGGTGTTGTTTGGGGGTATTTAGATGAGGAGGAGGAAGAGGGGAAATCAAATCCATGATGATGTTTTTTTTGTAATAGAAATTGATAATGGTGAGAGATAATAGGAACATTATAAGGCCTGTTGTCTTCAAAATTGGCGTTGTTTTGGCTATATCTCTTGGTGGAATTATCTATACAATTTTCAGAACCAAAAGAATCAAAACCTCCAAATCAAATTCATCCTCACCTTCATATGCAACAGGTTAATTTTTTTTGTATTTTAATGTTTTTTTGATTAGATGTTTTTTTCTCTCTGCTTTTGATTTTGTGAATTGAGTTTACAGGTGGTCAAAATTTTGAGCTCACAAATGATATTGATCATGCCTCCCCTGCAACTCCGTCACCTTCCTCCCGGAAATCAGTTTCTACTGCGTCAGAGAAACACGTAAGATTATACATTTGTTCTTTGATTCTTCAAGCATCTGTTGACAAAATGCTTTGGGTTAATATAGTTAGATTACTGGGAAGTTGTACTCGTCTAGTCCAGTCAATCTCATGTCATTGCTATTTGGTGCGCGAACATCATGTATTGAATGAACAATTTTATGCACTTTCTCTATAGTTGGCATTGAACAATTTATGTTAGTAGTGAATTTTCCTGTAATATATATTTGGTTGTTGCAAGCTAATCTGTTTTTTCGTTTCTCTTGCAGGAGGACCTTTACATCTCTAAACACATCATTGATAATTCCATAGGTGTTCCATCTAGTAGTGTTATATTCAACGCGGAGAGAGATGGATTTTTCCTGCCAGAGTTCAATGAACTTGTCAAGGAACTTGCTTTATCTACCTCAAAGAGAGACATTGAAACAGTGATGCAGCATGAAGATTCACCCAGAGAATATAGAATTGTAGAAATTGTTAACCATGAGCAAGAGATTAAGAGTCTGAAAAACACTGTTAAAACTCTCCAAGAGAGGGAGAGGATTTTAGAGATCCAATTGCTCGAGTATTATGGTCTCAAGGAGCAAGAAACTGCTATCATGGAACTTCAAAATCAACTAAAAATAAACAATGTGGAGGCCAAGATTTTTGGTCTCAAGATTGAGTCACTGACCGAGGATAAGATGAGGTTAGAGGCTAAAGTGTCTGATTATGGAAAAGCTGTTTGTGAGCTCGAAGCTGCAAAAGTCAAGATAAAGCAACTAAAAAAGAAAGTGAGATCAGAAGCTGATCATAGTAAAGAACATATTTTAGCCCTTCAAGAAAAAGTTATGAAGTTGCATGATCAGGAAAAGAAGAATGTTGAAGCTGAATCGGATGTCCAGTTAAAGCTCCGAAGACTCGAGGATTTGGAGATTCAGACTGTTGAGTTGAATAAGTCTAACCAAAGTTTAAGAAAAGAAAATTCAGATCTTGCTCATAGACTAGAATCTGTTCAGATCATTGCTTCTTCTGTCTTGGAGAACGAAGAAGTAATTCCTCTGTTCATGTTACATTTCATTTTACACTTTGTTTAGTGTTGTCTACTTATTGAACATTTCTTATTTCAGACAGAAGCACTGAAGAAGGAAACTCTACAGTTGAAAAAGCAAAATGAGGATTTAGCAAAGGATGTTGAACGTCTTCAAGCAGATCGCTGCACTGATGCTGAGGAACTAGTCTATCTCCGATGGATAAATGCTTGTTTGCGGCATGAGCTGAGGAACTATCAGCCAGACACAGGTAAGACAATTGCAAGAGACCTCAGCAAAACATTAAGCCCCAAGTCAGAGGAGAAAGCCAAGCAACTAATTCTTGAATATGCGAATAAAGAAGAAAGTCAAGGAGAAAGGGAGGTTAATGTTAGTGATCTTGATTCCGAATGGTCCTCCTCCCAAACATCCTTTCTTACAGACTCTGTTGAATTTGATGAAACTTCTACTGATAACTCATCACCCTGTAAGACTCAGTCTTCGAGCAAAAAGAAAGTGTTTAGTAAGCTTATGAGACTCCTAAGAGGAAAAGGCCGCCCACTTAGTCGAAGTTCTTCTATGGATACGGTGCACACTCTAGAAGATAATGTAGCAGGACATTCTAGTTATTCTCCAGGGTACATAGATTCCGGTGCTAATGGTCTCAACATCAGGTCAAGAACGTCATCGCAAGGTTCATCCAAACAATTTCTGGACCTACATTCTGTGTCTCAAGGTTCAAGGAGCGGCAAATTAGGAGAAAACAACAACTATCAGATGAATAGTAGGCAAAATAGTGATGGGGGTTCGTCGTCAGGTTCAAGAAGATTGGATTCACCTCAAGAGAACACAAGTAAAAATGAGCCTGAGAAAGCAGAATTGCTGAAGTATGCAAAAGCTTTAAAAGGGTCCCGTTCTAAAATGGGATTTGGCAGGAGATCATCATCTGTTAGTTCCTTCTAACATTTGTGTTTGCTCAAACTGTCACAGAGGTGGAATCATGATTTAAAAACTCACGAGTGCTGAATTCTAATCATATTATGTTACTGAGTTTGTACATATTCATGAATTTTAAAGACAAATAACAACAGACTTTGACAAATAACGAATCAACTTATCTCCATGGTTCAGATCCGAAAAATATTACATAATCGAAAGATAATACTAATATGCAGGCAAAACATCAAGGATATAAGAAATTTCTACATCACAACTACAAGCATCACAATGAATGTAGGCATGTTCATCGTCCCTGTCAAGCCAGCCATTCCTGAGAATGTTTTTTTCATGTTGGATAGTGCAACAAGCGGGTCTTTTTCCCAAAATTAAAGGATTCTTCACCCAAATAGTTTTCAACATCTCTAATAAACTTTTTCGACATTGCCTTGTTATTTTTCTAGATGCCTCTGTTTTTTTCATGATCCCGATCAACTTCACCCCTTTTTGCTTATATTCATCCCCCAAAAAGACTCGTATTATGCCAATCACATACAATGCCCCAAAGTGGTCTCCGTTTGCTGCTTGCTTCAGAAATTCCATCGCAACTTCTGGCTTATCGTTTTTGAAAAAGTCCAACTGCAAATAAAAGAACAGTTAAATATCAGTCAGGCTGAATACATGGATAAGTTCATTTAGACACTCGAATTAATCATGTTCAAACTAAGCACCTAAACAAATGCAGAATTTTTTTTTCCAAAAATTTTGAGTTGCATAGGAACAAAGTAAAGAGTAAAGTTTAAAATTAATTCTTACCACGCCTTTTCTGTATAAAAATTCTGTGTTCCCACATTCTCTACATAGCTCCATGAAAGAAACAACTTTATTTTTCTTCTCTTGCGTCTGCTCTTTCCACCAAGGTTCAATCGGAAAGTCTACCAACGTTACCTTCTGATATACAAATCGTTCATTTGCGACTTCATTTAAAATCTTGCAACTAAAATATCAATTGGTTAGGAAATAAAATTAAATTCTAAAATGCTAACCTGGTGAAGAGCGGGAAACAACATACATAATCCGTACATCGTTTGCACAGGGTACAAAATAAAATATATATTGAAGCATTTTTAAAATATATTATAGTGTAGTAAAATAATTAAAATATTGACAGAGAAGTAATTCAGAGAACCATTAGAAAATTAACTAGCTGTATTCCTACTGATATATACGTACCTTAATTTGATATTAATTAAACTTTTAAAGGAAGAAGAAGCAACTCTTCCAACAATTTCAGTAAGTATCTCGTTGGGAAGCAATAAAATGGGAGAAGAAGTATTTTCTTTTATGACTTTGTTATTATTTCTAACGGTCCTCTTCATATTTTTTCTTGAATGACCATTGATCAACATTTTTCTTGAAGAGATTTTTACTAACAATGAATGCAATTGAATTATATGTTTGGGTTTTATAAAAAGTTTGAATGAAAAATGAAAAAGTTATGTTTTTTCTGAAGACTTTTACGAACTTTTCTGAAATATTGTGACTTTTTCATAAGATTGTGATTTTTCTGGTGAATTGCAACTTTTGTGAAGAGATATGTTTTTCTGAAGAATTATGACTTTTCTAAAGAATAAATATACGATTGTTGCAAGCTGATCTGTTTTTTCGTTTCTTTTGCACGAGGACAGAGATGGATTTTTCCAGCCAGGGTATTATGGTCTCAAGGAGCAAGAAACTGTTATCAATGGAACTTCAAAATCAACTTAGGAGGCCAAGATTTTTGTACAATATTCAACGAAATTTTGAAGATAATAACAAATTTTAAAAAAATAACGAATCAGAGTAAAAAATATTATATATTCAAAAGATAATTACATGTAATTCTAATATCTAGGCAAAACACTAACAATATAAGAAATTTCTACATCACAACTACAAGCATGACAATGAAAATCGATTTGTTCATCGTCACTATCAAGAGGCCAGCCATTCCTACGAACGCGATGCTGATGTTGAATAGTGCAACGAGTGGGCCTTTCTCCCAAAACTAAAGGATTCTTCACCCAAATATTTTTCAAGATCTCTTCTAAACTCTTTCGACATTCTCTAGTTACTTTTCTAAGTGTCTTGGTTTCTTTCATGTTACCAATCAACGTTACCCCTTTCCGCTTGAATTCACCACCCAAAAAGACTCCAATTATGCCAATCACGTACAATGCCCCAATGTGGCCTCCTTTTGCTGCTTGCTTCAGCAATTCCACTGCAAAATCTGGTCTATTGTTTTTAAAAAAGTCCATCTAAAAATAAAAACACATTAAGCACATATTAATATCAAGTTGGCACCTGAACACATACGAAGAAAATCAAAATTTGAGTCGTGAGTGTTTAATTGGAATAAAGTTACGAGTCTAAAGTCTAAAATTGATTATTACCACTCCTTTTCTGTATAGGGCTTCTGTATTACCGCATTCTCTACATAGCTCCATGAAAGAAGTAACTTTATTTATCTTCTCATCCTTCTCCTTTTGCCACAAAGGTTCTATTGGAAAGTTTACCAGCGTCACCTTCTGATATATGTATCGTTCATCTGAAATTTCATTAAGAACCTTGCAACTAAAAAATATCGATCGGTTAGGAAAAAATTAAAAATTGTTCATTTAAAAAATAAAATATTTATAAATATATATCTATATACATACATACCTTAATTTGACATTGATAAAATTTTTGAAGGAAAAAGAAGCAACTCTTGCAACAATATCAGTAAGTAACTCATTGGGAAGAGATTCAATTGAAGAACAAAAATTTTGTTCGATTAGTTTGTTATTATTACGTTTTCTTGCAATGCTCTTCATATTTTTTCTTGAATGACGATTGATCACCATTTTTCTTTGAACAATTAAACTTATGATAAATAATGAACGCAATTATGTTATATATATAAGTTTTTTTACAGCTTAGTTTCTGTTTTTTTCAGGTTTCCTTCTTTAAATCGGATTTGGAAAATTTTTAGTTTGTTGATTTTATTTTTTCTTCTTATTTCAGGTGAAAGTAGGAAAGTGTGTTGGCGTTAGTAAGAAAACTTTCCTTTTCTTACATGTACGTCGAGAGAGGTTCGTTTTTAGAAACTTTTATTTTATATAACTGAGGTTTGTTTTTAGAAACTTTTATTTATATAACTTTACTATTTTATATAAATTTTGTGTAATATTGGGCAGGGCATATGAATAAAAAATGGGAAAAGGGTGTGATATACCCCTTAACTTTGTCATTTAGAGCTAATGTATCCTTTGTTATGAAACTGACTCATATATACCCCTACTTGTAAACTAATGACTCACATATACCCTTTTTCCTCTAACGGAAATGAAAAGAATAATAATCTTAATCTAAATTTTTATTATTTTTTTCTAAAAAATATAATTCCGTATGAGTAAATTTAATTCTCGTCAAATATATTTTTTTGACTTTTTTTTGTTTCAATGACTAATTTATAATTATTATTTTGATAATCAAATTCATTTATGTTTCACTAATATTCTTGTAAAACTTATTGTAGATGACCAAATTTTTTCTTCGAATACGATATTAAATTACAATACACACAAAAAAAAATTTTATTTTTTTATTCTTTAAACTAAGGAATGAAAGAAAAAAAAACAAAATAAGAAGGGAAAAGGGTCTGATATACCCCTCAATTTTGTCATTTAGAGCTGATATACCCCTTGTTATTAAAGTGGCTCATATATACCCCTATTTGTAAACAAATGACTCACATATACCCTTTTCCTCTAACGGAAATGAAAAAAATAATAATTTTAATCTAAATTTTTATTATTTTTTTCTAAAAAATATAATCCCATATGAGTAAATTTAATCCTCGTCAAACTTATTTTTTTGACTTTTTTTGTTTCAATGACTAATTTATAATTATTATTTGATAATCAAATTTATTTATGTTTCACTAATATTCTTGTAAAACTTATTGTAGATGATCATATTTTTTCTTCGATTACGAAATTAAATTACAATACACACAAAAAAATAGTTTAATTTTTTATTCTTTAAATAAGGAATGAAAGAAAAATAAAATAAGAATAAGAAATTCAAATAATTATAATAAAAGAAGTCAAAAAATAATTTATGTATGAAAAAAATTAAAATATACCTTGGAAGAATCATATATACCCCTAAATAAATTTTTAAAAAAAATTAGAAGTAATAAATATAAATTTAAAACTAATTTTTTAAAATCCGTTAAATGAAGGGTATATGTGAGCCATTTTGTAACGACAGGGGTATATGTGAGCCGTTTGTATAACGGTAAGGGCATATATGAACCACTTTTATAAAGAGGGGTATATCAGCTCCAAATGATAAAGCTGAGGGGTATATCAGACCCTTTTCCCAAATAAGAATAAAAAAATTCAAATAATTATAATAAAAGAAGTCAAAAAATAATTTATGTATGAAAAAAATTAAAATATACCTTGAACTTTGATAGAAGAATCATATATACCACTAAATAATTTTTTTTACAAAAATAGAAGTAATAAATATAAATTTTAAACTAATTTTTTAACTTCCGTTAAATGAAGAGTATATGTGAGCCATTTTATAACGGCATGGGTATATGTGAGCCGTTTGTATAATGGTAAGAGCATATATGAGCCACTTTTATAACGAAGGGTATATCAGCTCCAAATGACAAAGTTGAGGGGTATATCAGACCCTTTTCCCATAAAAAATTCGCTATTCTTTTAATTAGAATCAGAAATTTTAAATGTTTCTTCTTTTTTCGAGCTTCCACGTTGACGACGCTCCATTTAAATGTAGGGCAAATTAGTGTCACGGTATAATTATAGGGTTCAAATTAAACGTATAATGAAATTAAGGGCAAGCCATAGTATGGTAAAACTATCCTATCAATCATTGATATTTGTTAATAAATATGTCAAATTTAAATATAACAAGTAAAAGTGAACTAAGAAAATAAATTTTTAATATAAAGAATAAGTAAAACCAAACGAAAGGGCATGTCATTTTGCATTTAATACAAAGAACAATTGAAAATACATCACAAACACACAACATGGTACATTCATTAAAAATAGAAACAAGTAACTGACAGCTACACGATACATCATTTTCATCTTCAACATCTAAACAAATAAATGAGAATTGAAAGGTGATAAATCGAACTTTTTCAACTAAGCAAAAGTTTAAATAACCAATCAACTCGGTTGTTAAAATTCACATATTTTGTTGTATTAGCTATCCAAGTAGGTAGATCCCTTGCATAATAAGCGTATCGGCTAGAACTTTGTTTGCAGCTTCAGATAGATGAATTCCATCCCAAAACACATACTCTGTTGCATTGCTGCAAGTCCCTGCTAACTTTGGGTTGCAAAATAGTGATGTTGTTTCAACTTTACCTGTCCCACAGCACCCTCGATTCGCTACCACGAATCCTAATAACCACCAAATGATTATGTCAATAACAAACAGGATTTTGTATAAGCAGTGGTTGAATAGTAGGTTTTATATGGAAAATTACCGTGGTCTGATGGATAATTGACGAGGTCATACATGGGCTGGAAGACGTCAAAGATAGCAATCTTAAGGCCAGGAAGTTGCTTTCTCAATTGTGCTGCAGTTGAATTCATCTTTTTGTTGAATTGTTTGGCATCTCTATTGATCTTTGAGATACAACCACTCTTATGAAATCCAAACATTGTTTTCGCAGCTGGAAGACACCCCAATGGTGGCAATGAAGTCACCCCAATTCTTCGTGCTCCTTGCCCATACAAATCCTGTTTATTTACATAATTAATCAAATAAATATTTAACTAACTTCTGATTCATCATAGTTTAAATCGGTTGTATCATGTTGAGTGAGTTGTGTCTTGCGACCCAACACTTAAAAAAAGTTGAAATTAGTTATGAACTTTGTTGCTGCTAATTCATCGCTAAATTACCTTGACAAAGTGAGTGAATATGCGAACAAGATAAGAACTATACTGACGAGGAGTAGAAATTTTGTTAAGATAAGGATTGAAGTAGTAATTCTGTAAGAAATCAGCTGTTCCAGCACTTAATATGTAGAGTGCATCCTTTAGGATGGATTCCGCTTTTTGGCTGCCAGCAACTTTTACTAGCTTGGATTTGTACTCCTTATAATATTGCATTTGTTTAGACAATGGAATTGCATGCTGCATCACCAAAAAAAAAAATTGTCAACTACACTCAGCCCCAAATTTGATAACCGAAGATGCATTACAACAAAAACGGTCTTTAGCAATTAATCGTTACACACAATTCACGATCTGCTTGTTTTAGTAAAGACATCGACTATATAATGACAACAGTAAGAACAGAGCGCTTGTAAAACTTACGTTGAGGATGGCTGTTTTATCATCATAGCCAGCAGCGGCAGAAGCGAAATTAGTACCAATAAGGAGATTCTTTCCTGATGCTTCAGGGCTCAAATACGCAGCCGGGTAAGTAGTGAAGCCAAGTGCATCAGCTACAACCACATACGTTAGCTTGATAGTAATAACTAAAAACTAACAGGATCCTATAAATAAATTCAGAAACGTGAATCTAGAAATTTTATTTTGGATGAATGATTAACCTTATAGGTGAACAATAGTTGTGTGACTTTTGTGTTACGAAACAAAGTTGAATGAGTTTCTGAAGTAAAAATTGTTAGTCGAGTGATGGTAACTCATTAAAGTTGTCAATACTAAACACTTTAGAGTAGGAATTAGCAAGTTAACTTACCAGTCATATCAGTTACTAATTTGCCATTACAGAATCTACCAGTAGGTTGATGAGTTACAAAATCCCTTCCATAAGGTGGATAATTAGCCTTAAAAAGAGTAATAATGTAGTCATTATTTCCTACATCAGAAGCTGAATCCCCAAACGTAATAATTGCTGGAACAAGCGTTGTTGATTCTTGAGCACTACTCAAACGGATCGCAGAACCCAATAACGCCACCAACAACAATAACAATGCTGGTCTATTATTGTAGATGCCCATTCTCCAAAAAGGAATCGTACAGTGTGTGTTAGCTAGACACTTGAAAACTATATAATGATCACAGTATGTTGCAAGTCTGATCACATCAATAATTAAAGGATGAACAATTCTGCATTCAATACAAGGGACCTGAAACAGCAAGGGAGCACAGGCTACACTGGCCCAGGTCCTCATTTATTTCATCTTTATAATTCTATCAGCGTTACTCAATTTTCTTCAGAACTTTGAAAATTTGTTGCTTATCTACCTACTTTAGAACTAAGGCTTTAATACGTTTTTGTTAAGATCTGTTTGGAGAGTCATTATGATTTAGGTTAGGTATAGAATTCACAAGGAGAAGATGCGACAAATATAATTTTTTTTGTGTTAGTTGGAATCAATGTATTATGCTTAATAGTATGAAAATTTATGTCATTTCAGCCTTTTTATATATCTATGTGTTATAGTCTTACAGACATGGTAGGGGTTGGGGCTAACTTCCCCACACCCTTAAAGTGATAAATATATATATATATATATATATTTTGCTTTTCTCTAGATCGGTCTATACCTTAAGTAGTCGATTTCGTGAATCTACTATATTTTATGGATTCACTTGAGACTTTTCCCAAAAGCGACTTTAAAAATACCGATTAGCACAAAAAAGTGGAGCTCAGATTTATTTCATCTTCATTATATTTCTTATTAATTTTCATTAATGTTAGGTTTAGGAGTGTTGCTCCGCCACTAATCACCATGATACGTGCAAATTTTGAGTACCGTCATTTTAATTTTGAAAAAATAAAAATAGAAGGGACGTTAAGCTAGCCAGTAGCCCATTACTGCTTTTTGTCGGTTGCAATAGCT